ATAATCTCTTCTGAACTGAAGAAGGTTTTGCTGGGGCTTAATTCTCACTTGCTGGGGCCCAGCCCCCACGGACCCCACCCTAACGACAGACTGGTTGGGTGGACATGTCTGGTGAGACCTTGAATCTTTTTTTATTATCAAATTGGACATATCTGTAAAGGGATATGGATAATTCTAGTGAGAGCAATGTCAATCTGGTAAATTGAACTCTCATAAATTAAAGTTGTCACCCTTGTAAAATATGGTTGTTTCTTTTCATTCATTTTATTTGGTAGCACTTAGAAGAGTTAAAATGAATCAACAATCCTTTCTGGAAATTTATTAGCCTCAAATTGACCCTTTTATTTCAGAAACTCTGTTAGATGTTGAACCCAAGGAAAAACAGACAAATTATGAAATGTTAATGCAGTGGATAGGTTTTCTTCCAGAAGTATTTGTTAAAGAGGTTCATTCTGCACTAGAACAAAAACAACCATTTATGTCAAATGAAGTGACTTCTGATGATTTTTTACACAAAAATCATCACATTGATGACTGTACACAGATTCATCTATTGTATGTAAGTAGTTTAGTCCAACAGTCCCTGTGTACATCCAGGTTTTATTGTGCCCCTTGTAACACAGATCATAGAGACACAGTGGTCATATAATGTGTTGCTATTTTCATGGGCAGTTGTAAAACAGTAGAATATAGGACTCTGTCTCTTGTTTCAGATCTATTATCCACACACTCTTTAATGGGGCAAATAATGTATGTGTAGCATGTCTTAGCAGTAATTGGTTAATGATTGTTTTTTTTGAATCTATTTTCTACTTCAGAGTATATTGATACATTCGTTAGATTCTGAAGAATATACATTAACATCAGCTTTAATATTTGTTGTTGATAGAATATCCTATAGATTCAACAGATCACAACATTTATTTGAAATATCTGATTTTATATTAAATGAACTACCTGACACCCCTATTAGTCCTCAAGTTATGCTCAGAAAAGCTCGTTGGATGAAAGATACAGGAGACCTTCATGGGGCCATGTCTGTAATTAATATTACAGAAAATAAAGGTAAAGGTTTACAAAACAAGCTTGTAATTTCATGTTATCTTAACATCAGCATTAAAAGTTTTCAACACATTGATCATTGAATTAATTTTTTCACCACTATTCAATATGAAATTGTTCTTTGGCATAAATAACAATTTCATTCAAACGAGATACCATTATTATGAGACTATACCAACATAAAGAGAATGAAGAATAAAAAGAGATGGTACTCATTTCAGACAATATAGGCTATATCGCTATTCAAGATGAATGATAAAGATAGTATATTTTATCTCAATGGCTTTGACATTTTAGAGCATAATTGGAATTATAAAACAGAGAATCAATATTTTAATGTTAAAGCAGTTTGTGTTCAGATAAAAGGACAGATTTATCATAATTTAGGTAAGATGCATTATTATAGAACTAATAGCATCTCCACTAACATGGTATTATAGGTACCAATATAATTTAAGTACAAATAACCTCTTCATGATTTTGACCATTAGCGTTCCACGTACTTATGTATCGTTATAAATAACTTATGTTTGTTCATATTTACAAAAAATTTTAACCATGTTGATTTGCAGATTTGAGAATCACGTGACATCATGAATATTTATTATCTTATTCAAAGGGAAACACTGTAGAAATATGTAAAGTTATTAGAAATGTAAAAATTTATGAGTATTTGTAGTTAAACTTTGGCATGTAATCAAAAAGACAAACTTCAGTCAAAATCAAATTAAACATGATTTAAAGGGATGAATCAATGAACCGCAATTCTTTCCTTCTTATCCATGTATTGCGTTGGATAAAATTAATCGTGATGTATTGACACGATTAATTCTTAGCTCCCTTTATTAACAAATGACACATAACCCTTCCAATTATACTTTTCACATCAAAATTTGCCAAAATGCTTTCTGACTTCTCACAATTCATTACTTCTAAAGGTTCTCAAGTTCTTAATAGTGACAAATTTCTACTATTTTTTCTCTTTCCTTCTCTAATAAATGAATCACAATAATTATCGCAATAAATCGTATTGTTGGATGAGTATCGTATAAGCTTAGTGTATCGAATCGCAACTTCAAGAATCTTTGCAGCCCTAATTACAGCACAAATCTGTATTCTGAACATTATTTGCAGGTCTTTGGAATGAAGCTATAGTACCTCTAGTTGAATCTGTAGATCTATTTAAGAAGTTAGATGATAATAAAGGCATTAGTTATTCCTACAATTTACTAACAAGATGTATGTCTAAATTGACAATAAAGGAGTATAAAGCTGTAAAGACAAAATTCCCAAAGTTTTTTGTCTGTAACCATCCATATGCTGAGGGATATCAACTGAGTGTAGATATAATGGAGAGAATAAAAAATAAAAGATTTGCAGAAACTCTGTTTACTGTCAGGCATCAGGTATTGTTCATGCCTAAATATAACATGTTTTTATTTTGTTAGGGTGAGAATTTCTGATAATGTCACAAAAGGTATTGGGCTGGATATGTGTTTGCAGTCAACTAGTTGAATGGGATAGATGAAATTTTACATACTGTATTGGGTTTTAGACGTTTTCTTTTAAAATTTCAATTTTGAAAAATAAAATCAGGTTAGGGAACATAAAATAGTTTTTGGATGGACTTATTTAAATTTTAAATCAATTAAATATAAAATAAATATAATTAGACTGAAAAATAATTCTATTTGTGATTTTATTGCAGTTGCTTGGTAATGAATGTTTGCTGATGTATGCTAAACAGATAGAGTCTGAGATGAAAAAGAATAATATGTTCCAAACTATTTTATCAGATGTTAAACAATGTCTTAATCTTCATAATGATGCCAACTCACTCAAGATGCATGAAAATTTCCTAGAATTTACAAAATCTGTTTTTACGATCAGTCAGACATTGTCCTTTTCTAATTTTGAACAAGATAGAATTCTTTCTAAATACCTAGAACAACTCTGTATAGAACTTTATGAACACATCTGTCAATGTAAAGAAAATAAAAAATTCTATCAAAATGCTGAAACTGTTAAGTATATAGATGGTGTTTTGACTATATTAGGTCTTGATAAAATAAAGGAAGGTGATTCATTAATATCTAAGGAGCCAGAAGTATTAAATACAACCAATGCAAATAAGGTTGATATAAGAACAAGTAATATGAAATTAAAATCAAATACTCAGCCCTCTATAAAGTCTCATAATGATGAAGATAATAAGAAAAGATTTCATACAGTTCCAGCTAGCCTTCCTAGATTTAACCGTGATTATATTGGGGATGTTGTTGAAAATTTCCAGGTATTTTGTGCTTCTAATTGGTCTGGTGAAGTTGGTTCAAGTTTTGAAATGTTAGAAAACCCTCATGAAATTTCATTAGTAGATTATTCAGTTATTTCATTGTCAAAAAAACCGGAGGGGATTTCATATACTTCAAAATTAGTAGGAAAAGAAGACCTTCAAATTGATGAGTCAATTTCTAACAATCAATCTGCTGTTAATGATGGTTTAAGTCATGACAACACTGATTCTGCACCAATGTCATCCAGTGATGAATCATCTTTATTCTCTGCAACTACTACCAGTGTTTTTTCTGATGAAACTTCTGAATCTGATACATCCAGTGATAGGTATTTGGTGCCATTGATAGATATTGAGAAACCTGAAATTCTTCAAAAACTTGAAGATCTTCATCTTGGGAGTAGTTCCTCAGCTTCATCAACATCTGAGTATCTGACAAACTGGGAGCTTCCTGAACTAGAAGAATCAAAAATAGTTTCAAGTGAGTAAAATGATCATTTTCCTACAAAATAAATATCAGATGATTTTTATTCACTTAAATGAAATATGGAAGGTATATTGTTGACACCACTTCCACTATTGCTTGTAAACACTCTAGAAGGCACGATTCTTGTCTGATATTGACAAAAATAGAATGTTAAAATGAAGACTCGTCATTTTAAGATACTCTGTGATATATAGAAAAGACATATATATATAGAAATAGTGAGTACAATTCCTAGTATTTTTAAAGGAATTATGTGATTTTTAACATTTCTAGTACTTCTGAAGACTATTGACATATATTCAACATTCAAATCAACCCCCCAAAATTGGTGCAACTGTGCCTTTAAAAGGCACACTTATTTAAAAGATTCATAAGATACTTAAATATTTTTTAACAAAAATGAACATTTACAATATAAATTGACAATTTAAAGGAATATATTTGATAAATATGATTTAAGGAGCCCAGGTATTATCCTACAATGCTGTAAATGGTACGTGGAGACCACAGAGTACATTAGCCTATATTGGTCAACCTGTCAGTTTAGCTGAAGATAAGATGGGTAATTTCAGAGATGTTTATGAAGTCAGTTTTCTTCATCAAGATGAGCCATTGGGCCGGTGAGTCAACATATTCTGTATTATGGGTGGTAGATGGACTTCATGAAGTCTTCATCCCTGGTGATTTAATTCTGAGGGGTTAGCAATGAGTCTGAAACAACTCTCCAAAAACTATTTAAGAGTTACTGAAATTCAATTACTAATTTAGGTTAAAGATAATTTATCTAGAAATTAGGTAGGAATTAGCTGCTTGTTTTAAAGGCTTTAAAGATATGTTCAGTTAATAATTCAGTTAATAATACACATATCAGGTGTCAATTTTTATTGTGAAGAAGTCATACTAAAATACAAATGACTTTATTGCCTTAATTACAATGTAGTCAGTTCAAGTCTTTGTTTTTTTTAGATATGTGTGTAAACGATATCGTAAGCAGAAGCCACCAGTATGTTATATGCAAGATGTTATTTGTCAAATGGTAGCTGGTTATTATGTTACTAAGTTCAATGATGCTATATTAACCTATCCTGGTACTACCAAACTTAGAGTTCAGTTCTTACCAGCATTCCATTTACAATTACTGACATCAGATGGAACTTTGTCAGATTGGATTAATGTGGAACCATATCTTCATGGAACATTTAATAAATTGACAAATAATTGGAGTTATATTAATAATGCAATAGAGGATAAGTTTAATGCTAAAGATTTAGCAACAGCATTATCACATTTCTCCTACATTGAGTCAAAAGGTACATTAATGATAGTAGATATACAGGGATGGTTGCCCAATGATAAATCAGGCATTATTTATTTAACTGATCCACTATTCCACACATGTGGTATTGATAAATTTAGTATGGGTGATCATAGAGAAGATGGTATGAATAAATTTTGGAAGAATGTTCACAAATCTTGTAATTCTATCTGTAAATTTCTACATTTAAAAAGACCAGAGAGTGTATGACAAATTTTGTTTGTTACAAGAAAATCCTACCTTCTTTGTACATATTGTTTGGCTAAAACTATTTAAGACATATTCTGGTCAACATAACTGTATTTAGAATTAGTATTCCAGGTAATATGGTTGGGAAGGCTTATTATTTCTGTGTTAACTTTATACATTCTATGATATCATTGGTATACAATGATTGGTATCTTACTAATTGAAATTATGACACTGACATTTTATTTATCTAATCAAATCAAAATATTTTTTAGCATTTCACGTTATTATGTTTTCTTATTTTAATTTATTTTATTAAAATATATTTTTCAAGAAAAATGTTGGTCAAACAAGTCTTTTTTTTTTTCAATCTCTAAGCCTTGGAGTGCAAGAACTTGAACTCATCCAACAGGTCAGGTTTATTGTACTCACCATTAGGATTCCGTTTGCTAATGATGTCCAAACACGAAATACATCATGTAAGATTACCAGAACAAGAAAAGTATGATGACTATTTAATCTGAACAACAATAGTATTAATATACAGATATCTGATAAACAAGGGTAATATCAGAATTAATACAATATATAAATTATAAGGAATAGGTTGTGTACTGCCCAATGGTGGAAACCATAACCCACGTCTCCAACCATCCCTTATATGATGTGAAAATCCAGATGACAAAAATAAAAGTCCTAATATTTTACTACAATGGAGATGAAGAATGTAACCTATTAACCAACAAGTTGCTGCTAGTATTATTACTATAGTGGAGGCATGAAATGGTGGACGTTCAGATAGACTCAGAGCATCCTAAAAATATAGGGGAAAAAAAATAAATTCATATATTAAATATACAAACAAAGTCATTGCTACTTAAAGAGATGTAGTATTGATGATAATCAAATTACCATCTTGTAGAGCTTTATAAAATGCAATTCCCGATAAAATAACGAATTCATTACAGTAGTTTTATATTTTCAATCCAAAGACAACTTCAAGTAATTTTGTAGCTCTTAAGCCACACATCAGTATTTCAGTGTAATGGAGAATAAATTGAACAATTTGATAAAAAAGAATATCACCTGAATAAAAAGTGATTTAGCAGCTAGGAAATGGTCCAAATCTATAGAAACTGCAACGACAAAACTCATAAGCAAGCTAACAACATCTAACCCCTTGAACACAAAATTTATCACAATTGCCCATGAAAATAAACCAACAAGTCCATGAGTTAAACTGTCTACGAAGGATCTTTTCCACAAATTAAAATTATCAGTATCCCTGTATGGCTCTGTAGAATTTGACTGTTTTTTGACTGAGGCTGTTTTCATGGGCATTACACTTAAAAATGTATCTCCAAATAGACAAGCTAACACCAGACATGTTTCATAACAAATCAACGCAAGAATGTTCATATCCAGTATTTTCATGTTGGACTCCAATTGTTTCTCCGTCACACGTCAGTACGTCAGTCAACACGTCAAATACGTCACACGTCGATGCTACCTTATAAAATCAAGAATCATATTATTTTTAATCACAAAACGAAATAAAAACGATATTTTGAAAATGGACACGTCAATGATACAGCATTTCAATATATTTCAACGAAAAACGAAAGATCATTTAGAAAATTCTGTTATGAAAATAAACACGTCGGTAAACACGTCAAAACAGTAGGAATTGCCAATATTGTTCGTTCTTTACAGAGTTTTTGTAAAAAACGCATGAACAATAGGAACTTTCTCAAAGGGCTGCTTTTTTTCGAAAACTCAAGATCTGTGTGGCATCAGGTATTCTAGAAAGGTTAAGTGTGCGTCAATACGTTTGGGCCGAAATTTCATCACACGGTCGGAACATCAAAACTTCCGTCAGTAAACAAGTCAAAGAACTGGTCTTCGTCACACGTCAATACGTCAGTAAACTCGTCAGACGCGTCAAAAAAATGAAAACACGCCAGACTCGTCAAAGAACTGTTATCCTCACAAGTCAGTCCGTCAGTAAAGGAAAGTTAATCAAACTATGTGAACTCTCTTAAAATACCACATTCTTGACAGACTCAATCGCAAAGTGGCCTCAGGTGTTCCAGAAAGTGTAAGTATGCCTTAAAACGTTTAGGTCGAGTTTTAAACACATTCCAGTAGGTTAAGACTCAAAACCGTCAGTAAACACGGCAAAGAACTGGTCTTCGTCAATACGTCAGTACACACGTCAGATGCGTCAAAGAAATGAAAACACGCCAGACGCGTCAAAGAACTGTTATACTTCAGTCAGTCAGTCAAGAAAAGTTTTTAAAACTATTTGAACTCTCTTAAAACAACTGCCTTAATTGTTGACAGACTCAATCGCAATGTGACCTCAGGTGTTCCAGAAAGTATAAGTATGCCTTAAAACGTTTAGGTCGAGTTTTAAACACACCTCAGTAGGTAAAAACATCAGTACGTCAGTAGACAAGTCCAAGAACTGGTCTTCGTCACACGTCAATACGTCAGTACACACGTCAGATGCGTCAAAGAAATGAAAACACGTCAGAAGCGTCAAAGAACTGTTATTCATTACAAGTCAGTCCGTCAGTAAAGAAAAGTTAATCAAACTATGTGAACTCTCTTAAAATACCACATTTTAGACAGACTCAATCGCAAA